GCAGTGTGTAGTGAGAGTTACCACAGTGTGTAGTGAGAGTTACCACAGTGTGTAGTGAGAGTTACCACAGTGTGTAGTGAGAGTTATGGCAGTGTGTGGTGAGAGTTATGGCAGTGTGTAGTGAGAGTTATGGCAGTGTGTTGTGAGAGTTATGGCAGTGTGTAGTGAGAGTTATGGCAGTGTGTAGTGAGAGTTATGGCAGTGTGTGGTGAGAGTTATGGCAGTGTGTAGTGAGAGTTACCACAGTGTGTAGTGAGAGTTATGGCAGTGTGTGGTGAGAGTTATGGCAGTGTGTAGTGAGAGTTATGGCTGTGTGTAGTGAGAGTTACCACAGTGTGTAGTGAGAGTTATGGCTGTGTGTAGTGAGAGTTATGGCTGTGTGTAGTGAGAGTTACCACAGTGTGTAGTGAGAGTTATGGCAGTGTGTAGTGAGAGTTATGGCAGTGTGTAGTGAGAGTTACCACAGTGTGTAGTGAGAGTTACCACAGTGTGTAGTGAGAGTTATGGCAGTGTGTAGTGAGAGTTATGGCTGTGTGTAGTGAGAGTTACCACAGTGTGTAGTGAGAGTTATGCTGTGTGTAGTGAGAGTTACCACAGTGTGTAGTGAGAGTTATGGCAGTGTGTAGTGAGAGTTATGGCAGTGTGTAGTGAGAGTTACCACAGTGTGTAGTGAGAGTTATGGCAGTGTGTAGTGAGAGTTATGGCAGTGTGTAGTGAGAGTTACCACAGTGTGTAGTGAGAGTTATGGCAGTGTGTAGTGAGAGTTATGGCAGTGTGTAGTGAGAGTTATGGCAGTGTGTGGTGAGAGTTATGGCTGTGTGTAGTGAGAGTCATGGCTGTGTGTAGTGAGAGTTATGGCAGTGTGTAGTGAGAGTTATGGCTGTGTGTAGTGAGAGTTACCACAGTGTGTAGTGAGAGTTATGGCAGTGTGTAGTGAGAGTTATGGCTGTGTGTAGTGAGAGTTACCACAGTGTGTAGTGAGAGTTACCACAGTGTGTGTAGTGAGAGTTATGGCAGTGTGTAGTGAGAGTTATGGCAGTGTGTAGTGAGAGTTATGGCAGTGTGTAGTGAGAGTTACCACAGTGTGTAGTGAGAGTTATGGCAGTGTGTGGTGAGAGTTATGGCAGTGTGTAGTGAGAGTTACCACAGTGTGTAGTGAGAGTTACCACAGTGTGTAGTGAGAGTTACCACAGTGTGTAGTGAGAGTTACGGCAGTGTGTGGTGAGAGTTATGGCAGTGTGTAGTGAGAGTTATGGCTGTGTGTAGTGAGAGTTATGGCAGTGTGTAGTGAGAGTTATGGCAGTGTGTAGTGAGAGTTATGGCAGTGTGTAGTGAGAGTTATGGCTGTGTGTAGTGAGAGTTATGGCAGTGTGTAGTGAGAGTTATGGCAGTGTGTGGTGAGAGTTACCACAGTGTGTAGTGAGAGTTATGGCAGTGTGTGGTGAGAGTTATGGCAGTGTGTAGTGAGAGTTACCACAGTGTGTAGTGAGAGTTACCACAGTGTGTAGTGAGAGTTATGGCAGTGTGTGGTGAGAGTTATGGCAGTGTGTAGTGAGAGTTACCACAGTGTGTAGTGAGAGTTATGGCAGTGTGTAGTGAGAGTTATGGATGTGTGTAGTGAGAGTTATGGCAGTGTGTGGTGAGAGTTATGGCAGTGTGTAGTGAGAGTTACCACAGTGTGTAGTGAGAGTTATGGCTGTGTGTAGTGAGAGTTACCACAGTGTGTAGTGAGAGTTATGGCAGTGTGTAGTGAGAGTTATGGCTGTGTGTAGTGAGAGTTACCACAGTGTGTAGTGAGAGTTATGGCAGTGTGTAGTGAGAGTTATGGCTGTGTGTAGTGAGAGTTACCACAGTGTGTAGTGAGAGTTATGGCAGTGTGTAGTGAGAGTTACCACAGTGTGTAGTGAGAGTTATGGCTGTGTGTAGTGAGAGTTATGGCAGTGTGTAGTGAGAGTTATGGCAGTGTGTAGTGAGAGTTACCACAGTGTGTAGTGAGAGTTATGGCAGTGTGTAGTGAGAGTTATGGCAGTGTGTAGTGAGAGTTATGGCAGTGTGTTGTGAGAGTTATGGCAGTGTGTAGTGAGAGTTATGGCAGTGTGTAGTGAGAGTTATGGCAGTGTGTAGTGAGAGTTATGGCAGTGTGTAGTGAGAGTTATGGCTGTGTGTAGTGAGAGTTACCACAGTGTGTAGTGAGAGTTATGGCAGTGTGTAGTGAGAGTTACCACAGTGTGTAGTGAGAGTTACCACAGTGTGTAGTGAGAGTTATGGCAGTGTGTAGTGAGAGTTATGGCAGTGTGTAGTGAGAGTTATGGCAGTGTGTAGTGAGAGTTACCACAGTGTGTAGTGAGAGTTATGGCAGTGTGTGGTGAGAGTTATGGCAGTGTGTAGTGAGAGTTACCACAGTGTGTAGTGAGAGTTACCACAGTGTGTAGTGAGAGTTACCACAGTGTGTAGTGAGAGTTATGGCAGTGTGTGGTGAGAGTTATGGCAGTGTGTAGTGAGAGTTATGGCAGTGTGTAGTGAGAGTTATGGCAGTGTGTTGTGAGAGTTATGGCAGTGTGTAGTGAGAGTTATGGCAGTGTGTTGTGAGAGTTATAGCAGTGTGTAGTGAGAGTTATGGCAGTGTGTAGTGAGAGTTATGGCTGTGTGTAGTGAGAGTTATGGCAGTGTGTAGTGAGAGTTATGGCAGTGTGTAGTGAGAGTTATGGCAGTGTGTAGTGAGAGTTATGGCAGTGTGTAGTGAGAGTTATGGCAGTGTGTTGTGAGAGTTATAGCAGTGTGTAGTGAGAGTTACCACAGTGTGTAGTGAGAGTTATGGCTGTGTGTAGTGAGAGTTATGGCAGTGTGTAGTGAGAGTTATGGCAGTGTGTTGTGAGAGTTATGGCAGTGTGTTGTGAGAGTTATAGCACTGTGTAGTGAGAGTTATGGCAGTGTGTAGTGAGAGTTATGGCTGTGTGTAGTGAGAGTTATGGCAGTGTGTAGTGAGAGTTATGGCAGTGTGTAGTGAGAGTTATGGCAGTGTGTAGTGAGAGTTATGGCAGTGTGTAGTGAGAGTTATGGCTGTGTGTAGTGAGAGTTACCACAGTGTGTAGTGAAGACGTGAAGCAATGCCGTGGCAAGAGAGAGCACTAGAAACAGTGCCGTGGCAACAGAAAGCACTAGAAACAGTGCCGTGGCAACAGAAAGGACATGAATCAGTGCCGTGGCAACAGAGAGCACTAGAAACAGTGCCGTGGCAACAGAAAGGACATGAATCAGTGCCGTGGCAACAGAGAGCACTAGAAACAGTGCCGTGGCAACAGAGAGCACTAGGAACAGTGCCGTGGCAACAGAGCACTAGGAACAGTGCCGTGGCTACAGAGAGCACTAGAAACAGTGCCGTGGCAACAGAGGACCGTGGGCCGGGTGCCATACCCCCCCCCCCCCCCACCAATTAACCAACACAAGGCGGTAACCGTTTTCTTTAAAACGTTGACAAATGAGGTTCGATTTCCGGCGCGCGTCACTTTGGCGTGTTTGTCCAGGCGTGGGGCCGAGGCTCCATGGTTGGCACCATGGTTGGCACAGTGGTTGACGGCACCGCACCAGGGATGTGGCACAGTGCTGCAGGCTACATCAGCGGCGTATGGGACTAAGTTTTGATTCCACGTCGACACACCGCCATAGTGACAGTATTGGGCAGCGTCATTCATCCTGTGAGTGGACACACCGCCATAGTGACAGTATTGGGCAGCGCCACACATCCTGTGAGTGGACACACCACCATAGTGACAGTATTGGGCAGCGCCACTCATCCTGTGAGTGGACACACCACCATAGTGACAGTATTGGGCAGCGCCACTCATCCTGTGAGTGGACACACCGCCATAGTGACAGTATTGGGCAGCGCCACTCATCCTGTGAGTGGACACACCGCCATAGTGACAGTATTGGGCAGCGCCACACATCCTGTGAGTGGACACACCGCCATAGTGACAGTATTGGGCAGCGCCACTCATCCTGTGAGTGGACACACCGCCATAGTGACAGTATTGGGCAGCGCCACTCATCCTGTGAGTGGACACACCGCCATAGTGACAGTATTGGGCAGCGCCACTCATCCTGTGAGTGGACACACCGCCATAGTGACAGTATTGGGCAGCGCCACTCATCCTGTGAGTGGACACACCGCCATAGTGACAGTATTGGGCAGCGTCACTCATCCTGTGAGTGGACACACCGCCATAGTGACAGTATTGGGCAGCGCCACTCATCCTGTGAGTGGACACACCGCCATAGTGACAGTATTGGGCAGCGCCACTCATCCTGTGAGTGGACACACCGTCATAGTGACAGTATTGGGCAGCGCCACACATCCTGTGAGTGGACACACCGTCAGTGACAGTATTGGGCAGCGTCACTCATCTTGTGAGTGGACACACCGCCATAGTGACAGTATTGGGCAGCGCCACTCATCCTGTGAGTGAGGCAGGGGTGAGTGGGGTGTGTGTGAGAGCCGTGGGTGAGGCAGGGCAGGGGTGAGTGGTATGTGTGAGAGCCCTGGGTGAGGCAGGGGTGAGTGGGGGGTGTGTGTGAGAGCCCTGGGTGAAGCAGGGGTGAGTGGGGTGTGTGAGAGCCCTGGGTGAGGCAGGGCAGGAGTGAGTGGGGTGTGTGTGAGAGCCCTGGGTGAGGCAGGGCAGGAGTGAGTGGGGTGTGGGAGAGCCCTGGGTGAGGCAGGGGTGAGTGGGGTGTGTGAGAGCCCTGGGTGAGGCAGGGCAGGGGTGTGTGAGAGCCCTGGGTGAGGCAGGGCAGGGGTGTGTGAGAGCCCTGGGTGAGGCAGGGCAGGGGTGTGTGAGAGCCCTGGGTGAGGCAGGGCAGGGGTGAGTGGGGTGAATGAGAGCCCTGGGTGAGGCAGGGCAGTGGTGTGTGAGAGCCCTGGGTGAGGCAGGGCAGGGGTGAGTGGGGTGTGTTAGAGCCCTGGGTGAGGCAGGGCAGGGGTGAGCGGGGTGGGGCTGACTGACCTTGACGAAGACGAGAGGTTTGGGTGGCGGGGTGGTGGTGTGGGGGGCGGCTACATGTCTGGCGTCCATCGCGAGGTGGGGCTGGTGGAGGAGGTGCTGGTGGCGGCGGCCAGAGACGGCCACAGTCAACCTTCGCCATCTACGTCGTGCCCCGCCTCACCCCGCGCTCCCCTCCACCTCCACGGCTGCTGTAACGACAACAACAACAACATTACTGCACAACCACTTCTACCCTCACGTCTCACAACCCCCCACCCCCTACTGGCGTGTGTAACAGGCCCTTAAAGATGAATTTAGAGAAATAATAGTTTGTCTCAAGCATGTCAATAGGAAGGTAGATTCACACGTCAATGGCTCATAGTCTCTCTACGTCTGAGAGTCGTTGGAAAGCGTCAAGCCATTATGACTATATAGCACTGGGAAGGGGTCAGGATAAGGCTTTGGGATGGGACGGAGGGGGGGAATGGTGCTCAATTACTTGCTGGACGATCGGGGATTGAACGCCGACCTGCATGAACCCAGACCGTCGCTCTACTGTGCAGTTCATGTTGCTTTCAGGAATGAACTGTGTAGATTTTTGCTGAAGTTACCGTATGTGGAGCTATGGGACAGGAAGACTAACTCCCCGGGCCTGGACCCCGGGCCTGGACCCCGGGCCTGGAGGGTGGTGGTGTCATGAGCCACAACAGATATAGACAAAAATACACGTCACAGCTTCGTGTCATCCTTCGCAGATGACACAAAAATCAGCATGAAAATTACCTCTGCTGATGACATGGAAAACTTACAAGCAGATATCAACAAAGTTTTCGACTGGGCAGCAGAAAATAACATGATGTTTAACAGTGATAAATTCCAGGTACTCAGGTATGGCAAAAATGAGGATCTGAAACATAATACAGGGTAGAAAACACAATCGAATCTGCCCATAGTAGAAAAACAGCATGTCAATGATTTGGGAATAATGATGTCTGACGATCTAACGTTTAGGGAGCATAACCAAGCAATGGTTGTACTCTTCAAGTCACTTGTGTTGTCCCGTCTCGAGTACTGCTCAGTACTCACTTCCCCCTTCAGAGCAGGAGAGATTGCTGAAATAGAGGGAATACAGAGAACATATACGGCACGCATAGACGAGATAAAACACCTAAATTATTGGGATCGTCTTAAAGCTCTCCAAATGTACTCTCTAGAAAGGAGACGAGAGAGATACCAAATAATATACACAAGAGTTCCACCTGCGCTGCCGTTGAGCAACCCGTTCTCGCAAATTCATATAGTCAATATTGACTTATTAACTACGTGCATAGGTGATATACTAAACATAATAGATACCCTTAAAAAGCTTCATAGAAAACACCGACCTTACCTAACCTTGTTAGTATCTTAAGATAAGCATCTTACTGCTTCGTAATTACAATTATTACTTAACCTATACCTATAATAGGTTAAGTAACAATTGTAATTACGAAGCTATAAGATGCTTATCTTAAGATACTAACAAGGTTAGGTAAGGTCGGTGTTTTCTATGAAGCTTTTTAAGGGTATCTATTATGTTTAGTATGTCACCTATGCACTTATTTAATAAGTCAATATTGACTTTACGAATTTGCGAGAACGGGTTGCGTTGAGTGAGGACGTGTCGCTTGACCGCTCCGGCAGTTTGAGGTAGTTGCCGTTTTCGCCAGCAAGGGGTGTGGGTGTGTCTACCCTCCCTGCTGTTCCTGGTGGTGGGGACGTGGCGTGTTTTGCGATGGGCGGCCCTATTCCCTCTGTCGTGCTGTTAAACTCCATCGGATTGGATTTTACTGGTCGTGCTGGTTACCCGCTGGTGGACGGTGGACGTGGTATTGAGTGACATGCTTCGAGTCCCGGTTCGGGACGTATATGGTGGTGAGCTGGCAGCCCGTCCTCCAAACAAAGATCCAAAAGTGATTCCATGCACCCGCCAAACCCCCTGTTTATGAATGAAAAGCGATTTACACACGACTCGCAACTGCTGACGTTCGAACATATCCGGAACAAGTGTTTCACTGACGAATTTTGTTCGAATCACAACGCTATAAATGCTTCACCCACCTACTACAAATACAAATAATCGCCAACAGAACCTAAACACCTAACCTAACCTAACCTATGCCTATATATGCACAATATGCTAATATTAATTTATACTCGAGAAAATTCCCGTTTTGAATGAACAGCAAGTTAAAATTTATGAATGCGTCTGTGGGGTCGACCGCTGGATGTAATGGACTTGAGTCGAGGACGGGTTGTGAGCTGGTCACTGCTCACCGTGTCATCATCAAGTTTGTGGGTGAGGCGGTGTACCGTGCTTTTCTACGGAGGTACGAGGGACATACTTTGCAGCTGCAGGAAGGCTCCGGGTCTGTGACCATTTCGGACCATAGTGGTGCTGTGATGCATGTCAGTGTTCATGGCGCTCCCATAGAGTTTCCTGAGACTCTCCTCCGGCGATTCTTCCAGAGGTACGGCTCCGTCATCAGTGTGCGGATGAACTCACTTTCGTCTGGCACATATTCGGGTGTGAAGACCAACATTCGGACCCTCGGGATGCGACTGAGGTCGGACATTCCGTCCTCTGTCCGGCTGTTGGGATACTACGTGCGGGTGTTTTATGCCTGACAACCCCGTACTTGCTTCCGGTGTGGCTTGTTGGGGCATCAGGCTGCCGGGTGTACTGCTGATCCGGTCGCTCCTGTGAACTTGTTCCGTGAAGAGGATTTCCCGCCGCTCCCTCTGGAGGAGGACTCCGGGGGTGAGGAGGTGAGCGTCCCGTTCGCTGCTGAGGCTCCCCAGCGTCACTCGACGTTCCCCCAGTTGTCGCAGACCCTCCTCCGGGTGTTGCGGTGCCGTCGGATGTTCCTCCTGACCATGTCTCTGGCCCTGCCGATCCCGTGGACCTTCTTGGTAATCCCTGTGGAGCATCACCGTCTGCTTCCTCGTCTTCGGATGCGGATCCTGGCCCTGCGTCCGCGCCTCGGGTCCCTGCTGTGCTGGGGTGGCTGCGGATCCTCCTGCTGTGTGTGTGGTCCGGTTCCTCCTGTGGTAGAGGAGGAACCGTGTGAAGTGTGAACTCTGTGTGAAGAATTTCATTCTTCACACAAATGAAATTGGCGTAATTTATTATATTTTCACTTAGTAACGAGTATGGTATAATATAGCTACCTTTTATTATAAATATACTTTATTTACCTGTAAATCTATATCTATATATTGAAACGCAGTTCCCGTGAAGCATGGTAAACCATTCGCCCGGCGCTTCGCGAGCATCTTGGCTTGGGTTCGTATCCTGGCCGGGGAGGATTGACTGGGCGCCAATCCTTACCTGTAGCCTCTGTTCACCCAGCAATAAATGTGTACTTGGTTGTTAACTGATTTGGCGGGTCGTATTCCAGGGAACATTAGTATTAATGACTTGCCCTAAACGCTACGCCTGCTGGCGGCCGTACAAGAATGTAACAGCTCTTGTATATATAAATAAATATCAACATTTAATGTAGTATCCACTAATCATCTAATATTACTTCCTTACACTACGAGCTTTTTAACCACACCAACTTTAATATCCGCTTCGATAGAATTCTTGGTGACTCGGATACTTTTGATATCGTTCGCCTTATGCGTTTCTGTTCTCGTATTGGCATCCTTGGTGATATTTAGCGCCCTCTGATTATTTCGCACTTTGATGGTGCTACATAGCCTTCCCGGTTTGGTGCCTTCTTTTGATAATTACTTACTTACTTACTTTAATATCCGCTATTGGAGCTGGAATTACCGCGGCACCAGACGAGGCCTCCATTACCGCCTCGTTAAAGGGTTTATAGTGTAGTACTGAGGTAATTACATGTAAATGGATTGGAATATGGGTTTAGGCATGATGCCAGGCACAGGGCCCAGTAAGTCCTTCAACGCCTGAGACAGGACGAGGACCAGGTGTGTGTACAATCTTAGCCTCTTCTCCTCGAGTGAATAGTCTCTCTCCTGAACACCTTAACATTTATGTCAACATTGATGCTGGCCCAACCACGCTGGCCTCCAGAAATCTCGAGGATTTCGGGTCTTAGCGTCCCCGCGGTCCGGTCCTCGACCAGGCCTGCTTCAGGGTCAGGGTGGGGGTCAGTCACAGGTCACAATTTGAAGGAGCGACGAGTAGCGTGTGACCTCTTGGACGCCACACGCACAACTGACGTCTTCACCAATCACAGAGCCGCTGCTCGTGACGCGTCACGGCCTAGCTCCTCCCTCATTGGTCAGTGATGACATCATCCAACACCTTCCTCCTTGTTGCCATATTTCCGTCCACCAGAAGTTACTCTCACCCCACACCCCACAACACGCCCCACTACAGGCCTCTACTCTCCCAGGCGAGGTAGTGTACAATAGAGACCATGGTATACATTCTGTTGTAGTCAACATTATGCGTGGATGGGGAGCAGCTCCCACTCTGGGCAGACTCTGGCTCACCACACTGTTACCTGGTTGATGGGGTTCTGGGAGTTCTTCTACTCCCCAAGCCCGGCCCAAGGCCAGGTGCGACTTGTGAGAGTTTGGTCCACCAGGCTGTTGCTTGGAGCGGCCCGCAGGCCAGGCTTGACTTGTGAGAGTTTGGTCCACCAGGCTGTTGCTTGGAGCGGCCCGCAGGCCAGGCTTGACTTGTGAGAGTTTGGTCCACCAGGCTGTTGCTTGGAGCGGCCCGCAGGCCCACATACCCACCACAGCCAGGTTGGTCCGGCACTCCTTGATTAAAACAATCTAGTTTCCTCTTGAAGATGTCCACGGTTGTTCCAGTAATATTTCTTATGCTCGCTGGGAGGACGTTGAACAACCGCGGACCTCTGATGTTTATACAGTGTTCTCTGTGCCTATGGCACCTCTGCTCTTCACTGGACCTCTGATGTTTATACAGTGTTCTCTGATTGTGCCTATGGCACCTCTGCTCTTCACTGGTTCTATTCTGCATTTTCTTCCATATCGTTCACTCCAGTACGTTGTTATTTTACTGTGTAGATTTGGGACCTGTCCCTCCAGTATTTTCCATGTGTATATTATTTGATATCTCTCTCGTCTCCTTTCTAGCGAGTACATTCAGAGAGCTTTGAGACGATCCCAATAATTTGGGTGCTTTATCGCGTCTATGCGTGCCGTATATGTTCTCTGTATTCCC